TCGCGATGGGCAGTTCACGCCAAGGGCGAATAGTCCCTACCGGGCTTCGCGTCCGACTGAGCAACTTCGCTCCAAATGCCCGGCAAGTCGTCAAGAATGACGGGCCATCTAAAAGGGTCAAAGGGAAGTCTCTCCCCTCGAGCACAACACTTAGGTGACTCTGGCCAGCCAAAGAGGGTCGGGCACGTATACAAACGGGAGGCGGGCAGACTCGCTCGCCAAATCACAGCCGCTTACGGGCACGCCTCGGGCCCATGACTTAGGCTAAAATTTCATGCAAATATATAAGATTTCAAGCAAGGGCAAAACATTCAAATGTAAAACAGCATTCAGATAAAAATGCCCGAAGGCAACAAAGCAAACAATTATAAACCGACCAAGAAGGCCGGCGATGTTCATAACGTACAACAGACGGGCACGCGGACCCAAAGAATACAAATGTCAAAGGCACGCAGGCCCGCTATCCTAGTCAGGCTTCCCCAGAACCATCATTGTCGACGCCTGGAGAGTCGGGCGGGGGCACGATCACGCCATCCACGATCTGATGTGTGTGGCCTATACCCTCAGTGACCAGACCAGGGTTTAACAAGGAAAGCTGACCGACTGCGGAGTCGAACCCCTCCTCCAGAGCACCGACGCAATCTGCCTCGAGGAGCCGGATATGGGCGACCAGCTCCGATCGACTCTTCAAAGCCGCTATGTCCTCCGGCTCATCCTCGGCAGGTTGCATGGCAGCGTTCATTTCCTCGACCTGCTGGGCCAAGCGCCCGACTTCGGTCCCCAGACGATCCCTGTCTGCGCGGAGAAGCTCCCCCTCCTCGGCCAACTTCCCCGACTTTTCCTTCTCCAGGACCAACATCTCCCTCTCAGCATCCAGCATCGCCGTCTGCTCGCGGAACATCTCCTCGGAGCGTTCCAGGGCAGTCTTTAACTTCCACGAGCTCGAGGTGAGAGCCGCTTTCTCCTGCTCGAGTTCTTCGATACGGACAGGATCCCCCCCTTCCTCGGACAACACCAGGGCCATCTCGGCCATTTTCACCAGCCCGTCCATACTGGCGGCCAGATGCATCTTCCGATCCTCTTTGCTCATCCCTTTGATAGCCTCAGCCTCGTCGGCAACCACTGTCAGAGGGAATCTCTCGAAGAAGCCCTCCTCTTTGAAACAAGGGGGGAACGCGAAAGACCTGACAGCACTGGCATCCTCGCTGACAGTCGGACCACTTTCCACCCGGGTCCTCTTCCTTTGTATCAGGACGGTACTAGGGTCGACCTCTTCAACCTCTGGGGTCCCATCCGACGCGGCCCCCGAGCTGGGCAGCGAGTCCACCCTCACCGGCTGAGGAGCACTCGGACTGTGTGGCGGGCCCATCCTCGTCGCCTGGGGAGCCTTCACGACCCTCCTGCCTCGCTTCTGGTCGCAAGACAACTTCAAAAGCCTTTCCCATCGACTGGCCATCGAGCCTGCACAAAATAAAAGATGGGCTAGTATCGAGCAAGTTCAAAAATAAATGACGAGCAAAGAAATTCAAGTAATAAACAACCTAGCAGACGAGCAGCCTGCCTGTACGTCTGGCACTCCACGAGTGCCTTAGTATCAATCGGCCGGGACTCAAATGTCGGATAACCCTCTGCATCCAAGACATCGTCCCTTTCCCTCGTGGCCCACCGGGCAGGATGAAAGCTATCGACAAACCGACAAAGTGTGGCGTACGCCTCCTCGTCCTCCGAGCACATGTCCCCGGCAGCAGTATGGTAGTAACCAGTCCCGTGCTCGTAGTGCCTGAACATCCAGTGCACGGGGAACTTGGCCGTACGGGCCATCACAGGATTCCCATCGTCGCCCAAAACCGCCTCCCCGTCATCATCGCTTAGGGGCTCCTCCTCCTCGTACAGGGATCCTAAAGCAGAGGTGGTAACTGGCCGCACAACGTACCACTTGTCTTTAAAACCCCTTACGGAGTCCATATACATTTTGAAGAGTCTCCTCGACTGCTTTAAGGAGACCCAGCTGTGTTTCCCTCCTCGAGACTGACGTTGTAGATGAAAAATCCTGAAGAAGAGCGGTATGGTCGCCCCGATCCTCAGAAAGCGACACGTCAGCTCAAACGTCCGGATAAAGGCGAGTGAGTTCGGATGTAGCTGAGACGGGGCCAGCTCCAGATGAGTGAAGACCCCGACCTGAAAATCACTAAAGGGCAGCTGCAGCCCAAGATCTTTGAACGCGATCTCGTACATCGCGAAGCTATACTCTGGATACACCGAGCAGATCCGTGAACGGGAGGACAGGCGCATGACAACGAAATTCTTTTAGAAGTCAGGCTGGCCCTGGCCCGCTTCGAGGACAGCATATGGATTTCGGTCGCCTCGGCTGTATATCGACGCGATCCCTCGGGGCTCGGCGCCCACCCAATCCAGCAAAGGGTCATCGACAGTATCAATCAGGCTGACCGACTCATCGGCACTTTGTTCTTCACGTTCGTGTCGCCCAGAGGAGCACGGCTCGTCCGCCATGGTTACCTGTAGAGCACGGGAAACCAGTCAATTGGGCACGAAGCCATACGCTCGACAAACTACGTCGTCCCATGCACGACCACAAAGTCAGTTTACACGAGTAGTCGCCTCCCCGACATCCCGAAAACTCGATGTGTTCTTCTCCAAACCGACTACGCGGTCACTCTCCAACATGTCGACCCAAGGTATGAACATGGCGAGCAACATCATGAGACCTACGGCCAGGACCATGAACATACCGGGCGCGATCATGAATCAGGCTCCCTGGATCATGAAGACCCCTGGCAGCGCTGAAGTTTATCACCTAAAACTATGAATATACCGGCCACAAGCATGCGTTTGCCGAGCCTAAGCATGAATATGTCGAGCTAAGTATGAGTTTACCGGGCTAGTCCCACGCGCACAGTCCCTAAAACACCTACGAATGCTGAAGATCATGCATCATAACAGGAAAATGAAGAAGATAAACCACTTACTTGGATCAAAAAGTAGGATTCGACTACGGAGTGAAAGAATCTGTAACAGAAGATAGCGGCTCGGAAAAATCTGGAAGAACAGCAGCAGTGGGAGCACAAAGAGCAGAAACGTGTTATGGGGCCCAAGGTTCCTATTTATAGTGATGACGTGGAATACCAAACGTCACCTCGGGCAACCACGAAGTTCCTCTCCCCGACGCGCTGCTCCCAACGCAATGATGACCCTACCATCATAGGGTGGCGGCACAGTTCCCGAAAGGCACCTCGTGTGCTCGACAGACACGTGCCGGCTAGGATCCTCCGGGCATCCACCGCGGGAGATGTCTCCGAGCACGGTACGGGGAGGCCCTCGAGGGCCTGCATCTCTATCCCGGGCACGAGACCCCGAAGCGGAAACGACCTGAGTTCAAGCCATGGCTCCTAACAAAGGAGCCACGACTTGGGGGGCTCCTGTTCTGGACTGGGCCCGACAAGCCCAAAAGCATTGCTAAGGCCCAATCCAAATGGACTTGCTAAGGACCACGCCGACCAAAGGGTCACAGTCGTACCCGACGTGCTCCCTGAGGTCACGTGCTCGACCTCTACACCTCCAGCTCGACATCCTGCTGTCCAGCTCGACATCACCTCGAGCTCCCCAACTAGGGCAGACTCAGTCCATTGCGCTCCCAACGAGACCCCGAAAAGACCGCGTCTCCGTCCGCCCCACTTCACGCAGAACATCCAGGAAGGGGACCACGTGCGGGTCCCCACTACGCACGTAGAACCTGGCAGTTCCTATATTGGGCCAAACCTGCCCGACCCAATGAAGGAACTTTGGCCCAGCGCTGGGGGCTATAAATACCCTCTTTTTCCAGAGGGTCAGATATTCATCATTCTAACCATACACTTGCTATTATCTGCTCGTACTCCTACTTACTTCAGCATCGGAGTGCCTTGCAGGTACCCCCCACTTCGTTCAAAAAGCTTTCTGCCCGGAGCCAGCCGTGACGGTCCATTTCTGATCAGGTCAGATCAGATGGGAACAAACATGAGAGTTTAGGGTGATCCTTTAAGAAATGAGAGAGCAAATTTTGGGGTACAACAATATATATATATATATATATATATATATATATATATATATATATATATATATATATATATATATATATATATATATATATATATATATATATATATATATATATATATATATATATATATATATATATATATATATATATATATATATATATATATATATATATATATATATATATATATATATATATATATATATATATATATATATAATTCTACAAAAATTATATTTTAAAAAATTAAAATAAAAACATCTAATGCTAAATTTAATTTGTTGAAAAACTAAAATGAGTCTAAGATTTAAAAGAAAAAAACAATTTTAATTTAGTTAGTTCCAATTAAATGATTCGGTATAGAATCCAATCTTTAAGAGCATCTCTATGAAAGAAAAAAGTACATGACATAAAATTTCAAACAAAAAAAACTTAAAAGACAAATAATACTATTATTTATTCATTTATATTAAAAGTAATATTTTTTTAAAGATAACAAAGCGTTTGGGTTCCAAAAATATTGAATATTGATTTTTAAATGGAAACAACACTTATTTAATTCATCCTAATTTAAACGATTTGATATGTGGATCGGATATCAGTTGTAAAAACGAGAGAAAAAAAAAAGGTAAACATAAGTGTTTGGTTTTGTTTTGCTAATTAGCACCCACGGTAATGACTTACTCATGTTTTAATCGGTAACACCACTGAATATCGCAATTAGTTTTTTAAAACTACTACTAGTAATTGGTTTTGTTATAGGAAAATAAATAAATAAGGTTGACCATTCTATTTTAAAAATAATATCGCTAACTATTTAAACCGAAAACGACAGCGTCAGTGTCATTTTCCATCACATAACTGAATCGAAACGCAGGTCACAGAGTTTCGTCCCTTTTCGCATCCCTCACACAAACCAACTTCCTTCGTTTGATCTCAGATGGCGACGGTTATGGCGGACAAGAGACCGAAAACGAAGATCGTCTGTACCCTAGGTCCCGCATCCAGGTCCGTTCCCATGATCGAGAAGCTTCTTCGAGCAGGCATGAACGTCGCTCGTTTCAACTTCTCCCATGGCTCCTACGATTACCATCAGGAAACCCTAGATAATCTCAGAACCGCCATGGATAATACCGGTATCCTCTGCGCCGTTATGCTCGACACTAAGGTATGATGAAATAATGACCTAATAATATCGATCTATTAACCGTGTATCAATTATCGTAATTCGATTTGCATTTCTCATTGATAAGAAGATGATTTGTGCATATTGTGTTGCTATTGTTGTATTAGTGAAGTGAACATGGCATTGCATTTATTTACATTGTTGTAGGGCCCGGAGATTCGAACTGGATTTCTCCAGGATGGGAAGCCGGTCCAACTGAAACAAGGTCAGGAAATAACCATTTCCACTGACTATACCATAAAGGGAGATGATAATATGATCTGTATGAGCTACAAAAAGTTGGCTCATGATGTGAAGCCCGGGAGTGTTGTACTCTGCGCCGATGGTACTATATCGTTTAAGGTTTTATCGTGTGATACAAAAGCGGGTTTGGTTAAATGCCGCTGTGAGAACTCTGCTGTTCTTGGTGAGAGAAAGAATGTTAATCTGCCTGGAGTTATAGTGGATCTCCCAACTTTGACTGAGAAAGATAAGGAAGATATTATGGTTTGGGGAGTTCCAAATAACATTGATATGATTGCGCTTTCTTTTGTTCGAAAAGGTTCTGATCTGGTGCAGGTTCGGAAGTTGTTGGGGAAACACGCTAAGAACATTCTTCTCATGTCAAAGGTATGGTATTTTGTGGATTTCTGATTTTATTTCATGAAAAATGATTGTTGAGCTGGTTTATAAACAAATTGAGTTATGAATCATACATGATATCATAGATATGGTTATTGAATAAACATAAATGTGTGTTATTGAATATCATCTAACACAATTTGGGACGTTCTTTAGAGACTCTGTCATTTCGGTTCATACTGATATTTGTTATCTAGTCCTGGTACATATTGTATTTAGTTTCTTATTTCTGGTTACTTTTTCTCTTTGCTGCTTCAAATGAATGTGGCAGGTTGAGAACCAAGAAGGAGTTGCAAATTTTGATGAAATCCTTGCAAATTCAGATGCATTTATGGTGGCACGTGGTGACCTTGGAATGGAAATTCCAATAGAGAAGATATTTCTTGCACAGAAAGTGATGATTTATAAGTGCAATATCCAAGGAAAACCTGTTGTTACTGCAACCCAAATGTTGGAGTCAATGATCAAATCTCCCCGTCCAACCAGAGCTGAAGCTACTGATGTTGCCAATGCAGTTTTGGATGGCACAGACTGTGTCATGCTTAGTGGTGAAACTGCTGCTGGAGCTTATCCAGAACTTGCTGTTCGAACTATGGCTAAAATATGTGTTGAAGCTGAGAGCACCATTGATTATGGAGATGTGTTTAAAAGGATAATGGAGCACTCACCAGTACCCATGAGCCCATTGGAGAGTCTTGCTTCTTCTGCGGTTAAGATGGCCAACTCGGCTAAAGCAGCAGTTATATTGGTTTTAACTAGAGGAGGGAGTACTGCAAAATTAGTGGCTAAATACAGGGCAGGCATGCCAATTCTTTCTGTTGTTGTTCCTGAGATTAAGACTGATACCTTTGATTGGTCCTGCAGTGATGAGGGCCCTGCCAGGCATAGCTTGATATTCCGAGGATTGATTCCAGTACTAAGCGCAGGTTCTGCAAGAGCTTCTCACGCAGAAACAACAGAAGAGGCACTAGACTTTGCCATTCAGTATGCCAAAACAAAGGGTCTCTGCAAAAACGGGGATTCTGTGGTGGCTCTCCATCGTGTGGGTGTTGCATCAATCATCAAAATCTTGACTGTGAAATGATCTCCCATTAGAAGTTCTTCATCTGCTTTTGGCAATTTTGATAGTGGGAGAGAAGTCTTTTCATACCTTTTTAATTCTTAATTGGATGCAGAACATCAATCAGAACTTTTCTTATTAGGGTTGTTCCCTGTTTTATAATATCCATATGTTACTTTTTCTTAGCCTTATTATTGTTGTTGCGGTGGCAAGTGGCTGACTGCCTTTCATTTTTTGATGCATGAAGCTTTTTGTAGAAACTAAAATGCGACCGGTTTCTGGCTTCTCAGTTTTGGTTTGTTTACGGTATGATGTTCAGTACTTCATATTTTGATTGAGAAAGTTATGGTTGTTTGAGTACTATATGTCTTAATAGAGAAAGAATGGTATGTGATATAGTTCTTTGTCATCAATTTGAAATTTGAAGGTTTATTATATTTTGTAAAATTGAATAAAATAAAACAGCACACGTAACAAAAAGAATAGAAATAATAAACCTTGGTTTTGTTAAAAGGTTGAAGGCCCTAATTTTTAAATATTCATTGAACATTTCGTTTTATCTCTATTTCTTTTTATCATCTCAACAATTTATCATATTTGTCAAACTACTTTTTCTATTTTTCTGTTACAACGTACACTCTTATTCATTTTCTTATTACTAATTAACTGAATTGCCATTTACACCATGTTTTAGAAGAGTCCTAGTTGCCATATAGGTGTTTTAAATCTGATTTCGATAGACGTCGACACTTTTGGTTCACATCTATGTATTGGTTGGTGATACAATATTTTAATGCATTGTAAATCAAACTATTATAGTTTCTTCTTTGCGGCAATAGAATTCGTTTTCGGATATTCATTCATGAGATCAGGCTTAGAAATATTATCATTAGACCATGGTTTCAGGAAGAAATCGAAAGACCGTTGAAATTAAATTATAACAACAAATCAAACAATAGAAAGTTGATCAAGTCAAACACATTGATAGAGTTCTTAGTTGGCAATAGAAAAAATATGAAGTGAATAAATTTTCAATATAAAGTGGGCAAACTTGATAATAGCATTTTCTCAAAGATGTTCTACCTAACTAATTGCATTTTAGATCTTATATTTTTTTCTCTCCATTTTTCTTACTCTCTACTTCTCTTGATCTCACTATCTCTATTATAAAATCATTTTATTTTGGAGAGAGAAAGAGAAGAATTAAGAGAGAAATAGAGAGAAAAAAAGAGAGGGTCTAAACTCAAATAATTGTTACATATCACTATAAAATTATTAGCTTAGAAGATTGTCTAATTATTAGGGAACCAATGAAATAAGGAACAGTAAATTTATGTGGATAAGAGAGTTTAGATGGAAGTTTTCTTTGGATAATTGCACTACACTCTTCGACTAAAGCAACGTTTTCATCATATTTCAGCTTACGTTTTTCTGATATGAGTTCTTTCATGAATTTAGCATAAACAAACATATCTTCAAGAACTTCACAAAAAGGAATGTTAACCTGTATTTTTGCCGACATCTTTATGAACTTCTTGAATTGACCTATTTTCATCTCTTTCTTAGACTTCTTCTTTAGAATCGGGTGTGTTGGTTTAATGTAATCAGGTAGTTCAGAATTTAGTTCACTCAAGATTTGCTTTTCGGTTATGCTAAAGGGTGAGTTCTTATTGATGAATTGATCAAGTGTGTACCCTATAACTTCCTCATCACTAGAATCCTCACCTTTTCTCCCTCAGAAACTTTATCGACTTCCTTCTCAACTACTATCTCTTTTCACTTTTCTTCACAACCTCACTAGATTCTTTGTTTTTGCTGCTTACCTCTGAATTTGAAGGGACTACTCTATTTCTAAACCTGATGGTTTTACAATTTTCATTTGAACTAGCCTGAGTTGCCCATTGTCGCGACAATTGTCATATTTCCCTTTCTAAATTCTTTATTGCGGTTTCAATAGTATTATTCATAATGATCTGATTTTATGCCATCTCACGTTGAGTTATAACCATGTTGTATTGAGATTTGTTTACCTTCTCAAAGCTTGCTTAATTTTCTTTCATGAAGTTCGTTAAGATTTTCTCTAAAGGTGATAATTTGCGTTGAGGCGCTTAAGGAACCTATTGAACTCCCTCATTAGTATTCAAAGTCTGATTGTTACTCCACTTGAAGTTTAAATGGTATTTCGAATTCAGATTGTAGGTGTTAGAATATGGATTATTCTTTTGCAAAATAGCATATCGAACTTCAGCACTCTTAACTTCTATTCAACAATCACCATTTGCATGTTCTCCTCCACAAAAATCACAGAAGCGTTTGAATTAGGCTAACATTTGCTTGGGCTAGTTGGGTTGCGGCTAACTGATTAGAAAATGCTTCTATCTGAGTTGATAAAGTTGTGATTGAATCAACTGCACGAATTCCTTTTTGCTTCATCGCTCGCTCACTTAAGCGATACTCATTTTGACACATATTGTTAATCAACATCTTCAACTTTTCACCAGTCTTTAATCCCAATGTACCTCCAACCACGACATCGAGAAACATTCTTATTTGTGTTCTTAACCTATCGATGAAGTGTGATCTATTTTATAACACTCATATTATGATCAAACTCTTACGGAGTAACAATTTGAATCTTTTCCCCACATCAGATAATAACTCAGACTCTTCTTGGACAAAGTTGGAAATTGTGGATTTTCTCTCCACAAACTAAGAATTTGAATAATATCTATCTAGAAACTTGTCTTCTAGCTCTTTCCAAGTATGAATAGTCCCATTTAGAATGCATTTCAACCAATTCTTCACGCAACCTATCAAGGAAAAATCAAACACATAATTTTACCTGATCGTCGGGGATGTCACCGGTTGGCTTGCACATTAAGCATGTCTCGTAGAATTTAGCGAGATGCTCCCAAGAATCTCTGATTGCTTTCCCGTCGAATGGATTCTCCTTCAAAACTCAAAGTACATAATTTTTAACATCAAATTTTATTGAATTAGTCGGTTAAAATCCTAAAGATATCTGCATGAATCACTCATTCTGCAATAGTCCCTCAATGTTTGTCCTGGTGGAACGACCATCTATACTTTTTTCTTTTTTTTACTTATTTGGTAACTTGTAGTGCTTCTCATTTCGCTCTACGAATCACGCAAATTTTTATTTCAATTTCTAGGTCGATCGACAATAGTGTCGAACATGTATCTTGCATAAACAAAAATAATACCTTAGTAGCACCGCACCATATAAATTATAATTAAAGTAGAAATTTAAGGATAAAATAAAAATGCCTACAATAAAATAATAAAATTAAAACTAAAACTAATAGCGAAAATAAAATAAAAATGCAAAATTAAAAATGTCGCACTAAATTTCCTTGTTGAAATTATCCATAATCTCCAACAACGACGCCAAAAATATAATGGCAATTTTAGAAAGTGTATCAGTCTCGTCAAAGTAATACAAAAAAATTTCTTCACAGGGATTGCGAGTTTTAACAAGGTAACTAAGTGCGAATTAAATTTAATAACAAGAGAGACTTTTCAAAGTTATTAGGTTTGAGAATAAAAATGAGAAATTAACGGAGTTGATTTTAATTACTAAAGGTGATTTGATCTTCTTTCGACTCTCCTACTTATACCTGTTGAAGAACTATGCATTAATCAAATTCATAATATGTTTACGTATTACGACGAATTAACATGACCAATGCACTAAATTCTTTGGTGTGAAACTGTTGCAACTGGTTTTTTATAGAGTCGTCACCCTATAAAGCAAACGTGATGAGTCTATGTTAGGATCATACAATCAACCAAATTGAATCAATATATTTTATGCAATCGAATTAAGCATACAATAACACAAAATATCATTGAAAGGAATTAAACTTAAATTAACATTATAATAATCTCAAGTATTGGAACCTGAATTACAGTAGATCAACCCAAAGGAATTAGTTCTCCATAGTCATTCGTCCTAGCTTTTCCAAATCGTGAATGGAATTTCGTGAACAGTGAATTCGAATGGCATGCTAGAGTACCACGGCTGCTACCCTAAGGGGAAAGAGAGCGACCCGTTTTACAACCCAACTGGGTCAAACAAACGACCCAGGCCCAAAACTAATTGACCCGAAACTTAACTAAAACTAGTGCTGCAACTTCAACAATTTTTTCAACCTTGCTACAGTCCGAATTGGGTCTCGACTTCTTCATGAAAGTTGTAGGTCTTTTTCTTAGCTTTCCAACCAATATTAGAACGCCTCAATCCGAGTCCTGTAGCTCCAGTTATGAATTTTTTATTGAAAGCTGCACATGCTGAAAAATAAAATACGAAAATTAATTAAATGCAAAAATAAGATAAATTAGCAAAACAATTTAAAACATAAAAATAAACACAATAAACTAAAGAAATGCATTAGTACAATCGTGGAAAGATGTGCATCAAAATGCACTGATCAAAATCCCCCACACTTGAACTTTTGCACTCCGAGCAAAATGCAATCAAAAGAAACGCAAAAGCATCGTCAGTTACTCATCCTAGGCTACAAATCTTCTTCGGGTAGGTTTGCATCAACAGGTACAAATCTTGCACACTAAAAACATCGTAAGAACACTAACCACAGATAAGCAGACATAAGCCTCCTAAATACACAAGCCAATTTCAAATCATATTATTATACCATAGCCTAACTTACTCATCCTTTTTGCTCTTTTTCATTCAGGCGCAATCACATTAAGCCCGTTATCTCCACACACTAATAGCAGGACGATCGGTTAGTGACTCTGATCCTTTTGCACGGGGTTCCGGTACTTACGTGGCATAACCCTTTACTTACTCATATGTAGTTGCGGGGGATCAGACCGTAATCCTCCCTACCAAGTTCAGCACCAGAAACCGCTGAACCAACTAACAAAGAGTTTTGAAAACTTTCTTCTCTTTTTTTTTGTTGAAGATTACACAACCGTTGGGTTAAGTGACCGGGTGAGGGTCACCAAACTTAGAAGGTGTATTCTCTTTTTCTTTTCTC